CCCACACTGGTTCCTTTAAAGATCTGGGCATGACTGTTCTTGTTTCTCAGGTTAGTCATCTTTCATAAAGTTTACAACTTTATAATTATCTTTGATAAAGTTCACGACTTTACTCTATATATGATGGTTCTTGTTTCTCAGGTGAATCGTCTCCGGAAAATGAACAAACCAGTCATCGGAGTTGGATGCGCTTCTACTGGAGATACCTCCGCTGCTCTCTCTGCTTACTGTGCTTCCGCTGGAATCCCGTCGATCGTTTTCTTACCAGCGGATAAAATCTCCATGGCTCAGCTTGTTCAGCCGATTGCTAATGGGGCTTTTGTGCTTAGTATTGATACTGATTTCGATGGATGTATGCATTTGATCAGAGAAGTAACGGCGGAGCTTCCGATTTACTTAGCCAACTCTCTCAACAGCCTCCGTCTCGAAGGACAAAAGACAGCGGCGATTGAGATTTTGCAGCAGTTTAATTGGCAAGTTCCTGATTGGGTCATTGTTCCTGGAGGCAATCTTGGTAACATCTATGCGTTTTACAAAGGGTTTGATATGTGTAAAGAGTTAGGTCTTGTTGATAGAATCCCTAGACTTGTGTGTGCTCAAGCTGCTAACGCTAATCCACTTTACTTGCACTACAAATCTGGGTTTAAAGAAGACTTCAATCCATTGAAAGCAAACACTACATTTGCTTCTGCGATTCAGATCGGCGACCCTGTTTCGATTGATAGAGCTGTTTATGCGTTGAAGAAATCTAATGGAATTGTTGAGGAAGCTACAGAAGAAGAGTTGATGGATGCAACAGCTCTTGCTGATTCTACTGGTATGTTTATATGTCCACATACAGGTGTTGCATTGACGGCGTTGATGAAGCTGAGGAAGTCTGGAGTTATCGAAGCGAATGATCGGACTGTGGTGGTGAGTACAGCTCATGGATTGAAGTTTACACAGAGTAAGATTGATTATCATTCTAAGAACATAAAAGAGATGGCTTGTAGATTGGCGAATCCACCAGTGAAGGTCAAGGCAAAGTTTGGTTCAGTTATGGATGTTCTCAAGGAGTATTTGAAGAGCAATGATAAATAAGCTTTGTTTTGTTTATTTCTTCTAAAGCTCTTCAGGTCCTATGATGATATTGTTGGCTTGTTATTAGAGGAAGTAATAAAATTGCGTTTCTTTGGACTTGTGGAATTAAAGGACTGGTTGGTTCTGTGATGCTTGCTAGTTGCTTCACATCAAAAAGCACAAAACTGACTTTAACATGTGCTAACAAAAGTACTCACGACCTGTCTTTTTCGGATCATTCAAGAAATCATAAACTTATCTAGAAAATAAACTTAACTAGAACAGAAGAATTTATTTAATCTTCTTTGAAACCCAAAGAACTCAAAATTGAGTTTACATTAACATTCAAAAACTTAACTAGAAAATCATATATATGAAAGGAGGCTATCTCTCTCAATCCTTCCGCCACGTCAGCATTTTTGGCTCTTCTGGAGATGACACATTAGTTTTTTATTCGTCCAATCAAAACATTTCATTAATACACATCAGCTTCTAATTATAAGTGTCAAATGGAAAAACAAAATAGCCCATGAGAGATGGACCATATGTGTTTTAGAATCTATTAGAGTGTAATATTTATGAGTTGAGCCCATTAAAAAAAAAAGGCTTAATGCTTCTAAACCCAACAAATATTCTAATTCTCCACAAGACTTTAACAAAATAATTCTCTCCCACTCTCTGCTCGATCATTCAATATGAAAGAAGAAGGATCTCAAGGCAAATTTCTCGACATCGTAAATTCCATCCTTCATAGTCTCCCTTTATGTACATCATATTTCTTTAGAACAAACATTTTCTACCTTTTAACTGCCATAATGGAGGCCACGGTAGAAGTTACACAAAAAGATATTCACACTCTCAGCTTATGGGATTACAAACTTTCACTACTATAAACTCTATAAATACTCAAACAGACATTGTTTATACCAGATTATATGTGTTTCAGACAACATCAGTAAATGTTTACCAAGGTGTAAGGAACATAAAAACGATACAGAACCACCATCATGTACAACCTATATGGGAATTACAAAATGAAAACATCAGATACAACTCAAGTTGACAATATCGATATACACAACATTGAATAGCTACTCACCTGAATTATCACTGAGGTGGTGGTATTTGAAACAACTGTCAAAACACAAATACTCTGTAGCGTCCTTTTCAGTATCGTTTCATACTCCTTTTCATCTTTTCCTATCAATATTCAAAGCAAAAGTAATTCAGATCTAAAAACCAAGAATCACCTGTACGACATACTCAAGCAACAAAACAAGCCTCCTTTTGAACAACTAAGCGCATTTCCGATTACCAATCTATCCGGTCTAAGGTTTCCATATGACTTCAAAACAAGCCTTCTCAGCATTTTCGTTCTTCTTCGTTCCTGCTTTAGGTCCGTATTCTGTAGCTATAATTTTTGTATCCCTGAAAATATAAACGAGAGAGTTCAATGAATCTCATTCAAAAATGATAAAAAAAACTTTGTACCCATAATAGATATTAAGAAAGCTGATAAAGTACCTTCTGACCAACTAGCAGAGCCATCAGGACGATGAAGGATATTACGGGAACAAGCAAGAGGTCTCAACTGACAAGTAAGTCTTTTTCCTGGGTTATATTTCAAGTAAAAAAATAGATATTATCTTAAAAATTGTAACTACATAAGAAAGATTTAGTTTTATTACCTACATAATAACAAATAAAAAATAAACATAAATTAGCAAGAACAATCAATAATTTTTTCTTCACAATTTTCAAAAAAAACCCACGCGTAGCGTGGATATTCATCTAGTAAACTTAACGAGAAAGAAACCACAGAGCTTCCTCTTCTTCTATGTAGTCTTCTTACTTGAGGGAGTAAAACTTAGGTACGAGCAGTCTCTTTCTGCGCCATCAAAGCCTCAACAGTACCTACAACGGCCTTGATTGCCACAGCGGCCGGGAAAAGGCCAAGTACTTCCACTGCGTATCGGTTCAGCCTTACCAACTACAAGATTCCATCCTCCCACGACATGTGTACCAAGTTCCAACGCCTTTTCTGCTCCATCTTTCAGATCAATGTAAGCATATCATAAGGAACCACCGGTTCCGTGGCTTGGGGGAACAAATACGCGTGTGATCTCCCCAATAGAACTGAAATACTTACTCAATGCACTCTTGATATCATAAAGAGGAAGTGAAGAGTCAAATCCCCTAATAGAGATCGTTTGAACATTGCCACCAACAGAGGATGAAGAACCTTTAGCAGCTGGTTTCTTTTCAGGTTCCTCATCAGAAGATGATTCATCCTCCGAAGATGTGTCCATGTATGAGAAAAAAGGAAGAGGATTGGCTGAACGTAAACTCCATGATTGTCTCATCCCAAAAATAATGTTGCACATCTCGCAAGAATTTATTCTTCGTCCTCGCTGTCATAAGCAGCCTTAGTAGGAGGCTTCATGGCAGGAATTTTCTTACCCTTCGCTGAGATCAAAATCGCCTCTATTTCCGCCTTTGTTGCCAACAAATCCACCTTTGCTTCGAGCCGCTGAAGACTATCAGCGATTCCTTTCATGATAGCCTTTGTCTCAGATTTTTTCTTCTTCTCGAAAGAAGCAATCACGTCTTTCTTCGGCTTCTTCAGATTTACTTTGGTCTCCGAATCATCTTTCGGCTCCCTCTTACCTTTCTTCAAAGACTTTGTGGCCTTAATAACAGCAGGAGTTGCTTCACTTTTGGTGACGGATTTCTTGCTAGAGCCGGCCATGGAGAAGATGACAAGAAAAGAGAAAGAACGATTCTAGGTTTTCGGGAGACAATAACCCTAGACTGTTGTTTAAGAGCATATATATTAGGTTAAATAAAAGATGGCGTCTTCGTAACGCAACTTGTTTAGGAGAAAAAAAAGGAAAAAAATAAATAATTGTTTTTATTGTTAATGGTTTTGTTAACAAAGTTTTTTTTATGTAGAAGCCCTTGGCCCATTGGTTGATTAATGCTTCTACACCAAGAGGTCTGAGGTTCGAGTCCATGATATTGCGATTTATTAACAAATTTGCAGATTAATGGAGGAGGTCTGGGGTTCGAGTCCCAGATATTGCGATTTATTAACAAATTTGCAGATTAATGGAGCAAATGTGCAAGAGATCTCCAGCGATGTACAATTATTATAAAATCGTAACTGTAACAGTTCTCATAATTTGCAATTAATAATAAATCTAGACGACAAAAAAAAAAACAAAGTTTTTTCATTGACTACCCTTTTGCTCATCTTCTTTTAAAATCCTTTTCGGGTTAGCAGAGATTTGGTTGTTAGTTTTAGCAGTTAAGTAGTTTGGCCTCTCTTCTTTTCTTTGTGCCTTGCCTTGTGCTCTTTCAGCTTCCATGTGAATCTCGCATATGTCACTTTTATCAATTTGGAAGCCATGAGTATCTTGTTTTACTTTCAGCCTTCCTAATAGTTTTGGAAAATTTTAGGTTGGAACATGTAAAATTTGGTAATGTGATTTTAAAAATATTATTCCCAAAAAGAATATTACCTTGAGAAGATTTTGCTTGTTGCAGAAATATCCATTCAAGTATTATTCTAATTCCAAGAATCCTCAACAATTACAATCAATCAATCTTGTATATTAGATATCCGATATACCAAAGTTTGGTTCAGTTATGGATTTTCTCAAGGAGTATTTGAAGAGCAATGAATCTAAGTATTAGTTATTAAATAAGCTTTGTTTTGTTTGTGTCTCTTCTGAAACGAATATTGTATCTTGAGGTCCTATAATAATATTGTTGCTTGTCATTAGAGGAAGTAATGAATTTGCGTTTCTTTGGACTTGTGAAAATAAAGATACAAGGACTGGTACGGTTAGTCGTGATGCTCGCCCACATCAAAGTACAACTGACTTTTACATGTGCTCTACCAAGTTCTCACGGCCTGTCTTTTCCTCTACAGTCACCAGTTAACAAGTACTCGCGACCTGAGTTTTTATTTCTTCTTTAAAACCAATAGAACTCAAAATTGAGTTTACATTAACATTGGACAAAAACTTAACTAGAACCTAAAGAAAAAACTCACAAGTAATAAAAATGTTGCATTGTATCACAAATTAAAACACCACATATCTTCCTCTGCTTCTAGTTAGTCTTCTTACTTTAGGGAGGGAGTAAAACTAGGTCTATTTCCACGAGCAGTGTCTAACTTTACCAGTGGTAAATTACCACCAAAGCTTCAAGCCTTCAACAGAAGGTACAACGGCCCTGATTGCCACAACGGCCAGGAAAAGGCCAAGTACTTCCACTGCGTATTGGTTCAGCCTTACCAACTACAAGATTCCATCCTCCCACGTCATGTGTACCAAGTTCCAACGCCTTGTCTGCTCCTTCTATCAGATCAATGTAAGCATATCCTAAGGAACCACCGGTTCCGTGGCTTGGGGGAACAAATACGCGTGTGATCTCCCCAAAATAACTGAAATATATACTCAATGCGCTCTTGATATCATCCACAGGAAGGGAAGAGTCAAATCCCGTAACAGAGAACGATTGACCATTGCCACCAACAGAGAATAAAGAATTATTAGCAGCTGGCTTGGCGGCACTTGCAGCAGGTTTCTTTGCAAGTTCCTCACCAGAAGATGATTCATCCTCCGAAGAGGTGTCCATGTATGAGTCATCGCTGTCAGAAGCAGCCTTAGCAAGTGGTTTCATGGCAGGAACTTTCTCACACTTGGCTGGGATGAAAAGCTCCTGTATATCCGCCTTTGTTGCCAACAAATCCGCCTTTGTTACCAACAAATCCACCTTTGCTTCGAGACGCTGAAGACGATCAGCGAATTCTTTGATCATCTCCTTCTTCTCAAAGTTTTTCCTGACGAATCCTTTCGTGATCTTTTTCTTCTCGGCAGGAGCAATCACGACTTTCTTCGGCTTCTTCAGATGTACTTTGGTCCTTGAATCCTGAGACTTCGTGGCCTTAATCACAGCAGGAGCTGCTGCTTCACTTTTGGTGTCGGATTTCTTGCTAGACCCAGCCATGGAGAATATTGACAAGAAAAGAGAAAGAACGATTCTAGGTTTTCGAGAGACAATAACCCTTGACTGTTGTTTAAGATATATATATATATATATATTAGGTTAAATAAAAGATGGCGTTTTTGTAACGCAACACAGTTAAGACGCGGTGATGGTCCATCGTCATTTGTAAGCTTTGTAGCCGCCATATTAAATTTTTTTTATATGTCCTTTTAATTGCTTTTTAATTAATATATTTAATTGTTAAAGATTTTGTTAATCAACTAAAGAAAGGCAAAGAACGAAGTGGCTTTTCCAATTGTTTGTGTTGATTTGCTTGATTATTTATTTTTGATTAAAAAGTTAACTTAATCAAATTAAATATTTATAAACAACTGTCAATTTGTTAATTGTTTGACGATATAAAATTAAAGCTATAGTATTTTTTCTTTTGTTTCTAAAAGTCTTAAATATATTTTTCAAAGCTATATGTTCTCTACTATCCAAACATAAAAATGGAGAATATTACAAGAAAAACTAGTTGCATTTCAAGTATAAAGCTTTTTTTGGTTAATCTTAATCCTAAGATGGGCTAAAATCTATAAAAAACGTATAGTGTAATCCACAAAATTACGTATAAGAAAATTAAACAAAAGTAGGAAAAACCCAACACAGTGTAATCCAAAAATGCAACAAAAAGAAAGATCGATGTTCCAAAATCCAAAAGTAATAACCACTATACGCTTGGGCTAGGCCTATAACCACTACCCGTTTATTAAGACCCGGATTCATTAAGTCCGGGTTCGGGTCCTAAATTGGATCTCCCTCTTTTCACAGAGTTCATCTTCTCCAATTTGAGTCCAGCTCTGAATCTCGCGATGAAATCATCGGCTTTGGTATCTACGTCGGGGCTTGGACAGAACATACTCCCGGCGGCGACCTTACCTTCAGCTGATTGAGCTACGTCGGGATCATCGGGTTCGTCGGAGCTTATGCTGATGTCACTAGCCATCCTGACGTAATCTCCACGCTTCACGAATTTCCAAGCCGGCATTTTAAACGGCGGAGGAGGAGGCGGCGGCGGGATCGGCATCAATGGCGATTCGCTTCCTGTGCCTACGAATTGAGTTACTCTAGCTGGCGGATTTGGTTTAGATGTCCGTGATTCCACCGGAGCTTTGCGAATCGACGTCATTGATGCGCGTGATTCATATCTCCGTTCAGGTGGTGGCGGAGGAGGAGGAGGCGGTGGATTTGAATTGTTTTTTTTGCCTTTACCTTTTTTGGATGAGAATAGCCCTTGGAAGAAAGGTGGTGGAGGCGGAGGCGGCGGTGGTGGTGAATAGACCAATGGAGGATCGGATCCGAAGAGTAAATCGAGTCCATCGATGCTCTGTTGTCTCTGCTTCTTTTTCTTTCTCCGTAACGCAATCAGAAAATCCTTAGTTGCTCCGCCTTTCTTCTTTTCCTGTTTATTGCTCTTTTGATACACAGTCGCCGGAGGTGGAATCGGAGTCATCGGCGTCGCCGCTACAAAATCACTTCTCTCATTATTCTCTTCCTTTGGAGGAACATCTTGGTACACTCTTTTAGTCTTCCTCTTCGCTTGCTTAGGTGGTGGAGGACGTGGCGGAGACGGCGGAGGAGACGGAATATACGGCGGAGCAGAAGGCACTGTTAGCTCCTCTACTACTTCAGCTTCCGCCGTCTCAAAGACCTCAACTTTCTCAGTTTCGGAACCGCCGCTATGGACCTTTCCTCCTCCTTCATTACCACCGTCCTCTGTTTGATCTAAATCTTCCGGCGGTGGTTTAACTTCCTCCTGCCAGTTTCTGTAACTTTGATTTGGATAGATCGGATCTACATCTTCGTAACGACATTGACTTACACGTGTATCATCGTAAAATCTCCACCGTTCATCGGCTTCGTATTCCCGGAGTCTCAGATCTGGATACGAGCTAACACTCCGTAATCTACTAAACCTCTTGTACACCGTCTGATCACCGCCGCCACCACCGCGATCATCGATCCAATAACGAGGCGTGGCACTGTTAGATACACGACCTCCTCGATCGATGATCGAAGGTGAGTTCGAGAATTTGTTACTAATGTCTTCTTCTTTGTTATGATTGGTTTCGTCATTATTGGTGTTGCGGCTGAGGAAGCCGCAAAGGACGGCGAAAAGGACGAGAACGAAGTTGAGATAATCCCAGCTTTTACGGACTAAATGAGGTCGGAAAACTTGTGAAACAGAGGAAAAGAGAGGAGGGATAATGAAGAAGACTATAAGGATTGCAGCTGTCCCGGCGAAGAATATTTGAGTGGCGACGGTGGTTGCACGGCCGCCGAGACTTGCAGTGCGGCGGAAGTAAGTGTTATTGCGGCGTGATTGAAGCCAAAACGGCGTAGACGCGTCTCCATCTTCTTCTTCCATACTCTTTCTTGTTTGTCTATTATTTGTCTTTTAGAAGAAAACTTTTTAGCTTGGGAGTGGTTGGCTTACGATGCTGTAATGTGTTGCTTTTATGCTTTGCTTGGATTGATATTTGATATTTCTTTTTAAATGCTTGGGGACTTGGGTTTGGTCATTTTTATATCGATTTTTTTTTGTGGATTCCTACTTTAATTTACACCTTTTGTTACAACAAAAAAATATGTCCCTGTCTTGGAGTATTTTAGACATATTTTATAGGAGACAAGTAATCGGATAATTGACGTATTTTTGTTGAATATATGCAAATTCATCAATACATGGAAATACATTTCGCATTTTACGTAGAGGATATCTGAATAAATTGTATAATGTTCAAATTAGTACTAGTTGACTATACACAACTTAACTCGGTAGATCTGACCAGTTCTTGAGTTTGTCTCTCGGCAACAAAAAAAAAAAAAAATTGTCATATTTCAATCTTTAAAATTCGAACCAAACTTTGGTCATACCTAAAAAAAAAGGGGGTCAATTGACACTTAAGTTTTTGTGGGGAAATTTTTGAAAGTTTTAGTGACTTGTTAGATAAGCTGGAAAATGGTGGTATTTGTTTGTGAAAGTTATAAACAGAAAAAAAAAATTCTGCATTTTTCAATTAAAAAAAAAAAGTTGGAAACTGAAATTCAAAGGCCTACGTACAGCTGGATTACATGAAGCAAAATAGCAAATACATACTGGTACGTCAGATAATCAAATTGTTCAAAGGAATCATATATGTCTAACGTGTTAATTAAACACGTTTTCTATGTGAAGTCGAGGCTGTAATTAGTCTTTTAATTTAATATTTATATTATCAAAATAAGTAAACTAGGATTTGGGTCAATGGAGGAGAGCCGGTGTTGTTGTCGTGGCTTTTACAATATATCTAACCAAGTCTTGTCATCTTGATAAACTTATCTAAAAATGATAAACTTTCTTTCACAAGCTAGATCTTATGCGGTGCCATTGCCAATGATTAATAGCTTTCTAAGTTTGATTTAAATACACTTACGGTTTCACACGTCACTTCCACATTTGTAGATAGAGGTTGATCTCTATTTATACTCAATTAAGGAAAAAAAAAGATTAACATTTCGTAAAGACTCACGGTATGTATGTAAGATGATTAAGGTAAGTTATGGAAAATATGGATGATAACTGGGAAAAAAAGAAACGTGAACGGCAGGATTCGAACCTGCGCGGGCAAAGCCCACATGATTTCTAGTCATGCCCGATAACCACTCCGGCACGTCCACCTTTTGATTAATGTTATGGTTATTTAGTACTTAGAAACAACATCGAATCTCTAGGATCCAGAACTCTCATCTCAATCAATGTTAAGTTAATGAATAGAAAAGGATAGTAAAAAGAAAAGAGAAATGCAAGAAGGTTAATGTGACATAGTTTCAATTACAATTTCATCTGCCACATCTCTCAAACTATTACAACATATTCATTCAGCTACTTCAATACCCAAAAAAAAAAGCATTTCTTTGACTACTTCTTATACATACGAATTCCAAGTTCCATGAGAAAAAACAGGAATGAACTTATATAATTAGCTATGCATCATCTTCTTAATCTCCAGTCTTTACTTCTCCTCCCCCAACCCGCATTTCCATTTTTTTTTTCTTTTTTTTTCCTTCCCTCTAACAATATTGAGTAATTAATATGTAAAAACCTGTCGAAATTAGATCCGTAACGATCTAAAATATACGAAAAATCGAAACTTACCCCCACTAAAAAAAAGTAAGTAAGCGTACTGTTTGTAATTAAGCTTCAGGTTCTGGTCTTGAACTTTCTTTGAGCTTTCAAGTCAATCACAATGATGGAGATGTTGTCTTTACTTCCTTTTTGTAGAGCAAGCATTGAGAGGTAGTCAGCCGCGGCTTGGCAAGCTGGGTCTGTTCCTTTGCCTCTCTCTGCTAGAGGCAGTGCTCCATTCTTTTTGTGCCACATCAAGATCCGTCTCCTTGCTATTTCGCAAACTTCTTGGTTGTTCATTACATCCCAAAGACCGTCACTGGCTAGTATCAGACACTCGTCTTCTCTTGACCGAGGCATGAATGTCACTTCCGGTTCTGGGATCACATATGGCTTCAGATATCTGTCACCTGCATTGGTCCAGGGGAGGAAAAAACCGCAGATGATCTAATGTTTCATGATGAAGGGCAGTAAATACATTATCAAGCTACGTTTTTGTGATGTGCATGTGAAGCCACCTTAAGACATTCATAGATGCATTTCTAGTCATCGAAAGAAGCATTGCTTACCGATGGACCTAGACATGGCGAGAACACCAAAAACACGTGCGCCTTGCCATTGTATGACTTTGCCTCCAGCATTTTCTATTCTTGCGTATTCATCCTCTCTATCTGGCTGCAGAAAAATGGAAAGAGGTAAGAAAACACTTCATCAACTATGTACGTTAGACTGGGTAGAATCTTGGATATAAGGAAAAAATTACTTTGTGATCAACTGATAAGGGCATGGCTTCTTTGCCACGGAATAAAACCGCCCTTGAATCACCGCAGTTAGAAACTACTATGTGTGATGAACAAACCAAAGCAACAACAGCAGTTGATCCTACTGTCTCAGAGGCAACAGCCTCAAGAACCTTATCAGAAGAACCAACAACAGCTCTGCCAATTTTTCCTTCAATCTCACCATCAACGGTTAGAAAACAACTAGTGAAGACTTTCTCCCACTGGACCTGCCTACCCTCTCCTGTGTTCCTCTTGCATAATTCGTCTTTTATACGTTCTATTTCTTCAGCCAAAGCAAAATGGAGTCTATCTCGGCAATAGTCAGCAACCTGCAACCCATCGTAGATTTAAAATCTATGAATTAAGGTATTCTGGATTCAGAGAGGTGTAACAAACTCCGTTGCTAAAATAACTTATAGAAAATGTGAATATAGCATACCTTATGGCCTCCGTGACCATCATAAACACCGAAAAAATGGCTTGTGAGGTGTGTGAGGCTTGGACTCATACCCTCATGGTCCCCCATTAGCATTTTGATGGGTAATTTCAGAAAATGAGGTAACACGGCAAAAGCATCCTCCATCTCAGATCTATTACCTTGAATGGAAACCGTGCCCCAAAGCGGTATACAATCTAATTCATAAACACTTCTCCCTTTCACCAGATGATTACTATTTTCTTCTGGCAATCGAATGACAACCTCCGAAGCCGTTACAGCTGAACCATCTTCTCTATTTGTATCCTGATTCACACCCGCAATAAGTACTTGCGCAGTGGGAACCTGCTCGATGCTTGATTCGCCTACGATAATCGCTGTTGCAAGCACTCGCCCATTATCTATTTCCATAGCTGTATCAGACAAGCTTAATTCGGAGCCTGCATCAACAACTAACAAGCCCTCACTTATGACAGCACTATTATCCTCCACAACAGACAATACCTCGTCTTCATCAAAAACATTAGAAGACCCGCTTCTCGTATCGGATAAAGTTTTCAACAAATCCGGTTCGCCTACCTCTTCCGTAGCGCATTCAGTCCCTCCGTTGCAAAAGCTTTGATTTTCTTGATCAGATAACAAGTCAGCTGCATCAGTAACGTTCTTAAGCTGAGTGATCTCCACAGGCGATGGTTCACAAATGGTGTTAGCTGCTAAGCTCAGAGTCATTGCAACTGCCGGAGTCATCTCCTCCATGAGCTCTCAAAAATAAGAGATTTCCACACCACACCACACCACAAAAAAGCTTTAATTTCAAAGATGAACTTAGGAGTATTCAATTGTATTCATCTTCTTCAATGGTTTCATGATGTTGAAGAATCCTTGCTCCATTAAAGTATATGTCAGCGACCCAAATGCCGCTATATTCATACACTAACTTAGCATAGTTAAAAGACGAATCAACGAGAATTGGGTAGCGGAGATAAACAGATCTGACGGATTTTATCACTGTCCTGATCCCAAATCCCAAAAACTTGGTTGATCTTCGCACAAATCTTTATCTTGATTTCGACCCTATTGAGAGATCACAAAGCACTAATCAAAAACTCACGAATCATTCATTATCCAAACGGTCATGTCAAAAACTAAAAAAAAAAAAGAGAGGGAAAATCAGCGAAATCAATCACAAGAAAACCCTAAAAAAATAGAACCATTAACAACCAGAATCAAAGTAGAACATGGGTTCTCCTGGATCTAAATTAAAAAAACAAGCTTTAGCTTTACCTAGAAATAGAAAGATGAATTAAAAACTTTGCTCTTAAGAAAACTAAACACAAAGCTCAAACCAACAAGATAAAGAAGAAAAAAACAAGAGAGATTCGATTCATAATAACACAAATCCTCCGATGAAAAAGCTAACTATACACTTGACAAAAACAACAAAACAGAGAAAACAACATAAAAAATCAGGAAAGAAGAAAAAAGAAGAGAGAACTAACCAGTTGATGAATCTTAAGATATTCGCATCTACAAATTTTTTTAAAGAAAATCAAAGAACAAAGTAAAGATGTTCTTCTTTTCTTTTTCTTCCTTCAGGATTATTTCTCGCTCGAGCTAAATTGCTAAGAGAGAGGCTCTCTCTATCAGCGAAACAAAGAGAGAGAAGAGAATATTGTGTGGTTTGCTTTTTCTCTCTCTTTTTTTATTCCTTTTTCTTCGTTGGTTTTGTAAATTAATAAAAAAACAAAAAAAAGAGTATTTATTACAAAAGAGGATTAATAGAAGGACACGTATACACAATTCTTGCATCATTTTGAGAACTTTGTCCTTTTTTTTTTTTGTCCTTTTTCTTTTTTCTAAGGTCCCTTCAGGCAACACCTGTCGATCAGCTAACAACAGATGTTCCTTTTTTTTTTCCCAATTTAACTTTTGTTTCTCTAAACCAATATGTTTTCAATGGAAATTGATTCCTCACTTTTTTTAAACAGAAATCTTATTATACAAGATAGAAAATATATAAATGTTTCCAAAAATTTTTGACATGTAATATTAACCACGAAAATGAGATATAGATAAGTGAAATATAAATGTGTGGCATATAATACAATTTGACTTGTAGGTGTCATGTGTATCTGATTTGTAATTGTAAATAATATAACTGTAAATTGCATATTAGTGAATGAGATATGGATGAATGAAATCTTGACGTGTGATATATTTGGTTCAGAGAATTCAAAATTTTTCCATATATTGTTTTTATTCCAAATGATTAAATTTTAGTTTTAAAAGATATGAGTGATTCAAAAAAAAGGTTTTTTTCTATGTTTATTTTTTTTTGTTCAAGATTGGTTTTATGTTTTTTTTTTTTTGGATTGGTTTTATGTTTATTGTTGAAGGATTCTTATTACGAACTTGTCTATAGAACTCTCAATAAGAACTGGTCTTATGTTTTCTTTTCGACAACGTAAAAGTATATAGTTCTCACAATCGTGTTTATAATGGAATCGTCTTAAAAGTAATAATCTTTCGAGAGACGTATAAGATATGGTGTTTCGCGAAGAAGAAATAAAGATGGAAGACGACAGGCCGAGAAAATTTGATCGTTACCTTTTTTTTTCTTTGTTCTTTTTGGATACGTAAATCAGAAAATGCAACGTGTGTTTGTTTTTTCGCAAGTCAATAATCGCAATAATTTCTTTTTCTACCACCCGCCCACGCGGCTGTCTGATTGATCAGCGACGAAAATAATAAAATTCGTAGATATATTGCTGTTGCATTATTATCTAAACTCGAATTCAGTAAATGTGTGCTCGTGGGATTGACGTGAGGGGATAGGGGCAGTAAAAGTCTAAATCATATACTAATCATTTTATCTTAAAAAAAACTAGTTTCAATAAATTAAGATAAAAAAATTAAAGCAACTTAATATTTTGATGATGTATAATTGAATTTCATTTTAATCGAAACGCGTACATTAATGTAAGCTAGATCTCACCAGCAACTTCCCAAAAATCACTCTCTAAAGATAAATTGAAAATTTCCTTTTTGTTTGTTTTGTTTCACAAGACTGTTGAGAGTTGTTTGAGGAATAAACCCTCCAAAATTAGCAAAAATGTAAAACCACTCGAAGCTTCATCATTCACAATACAAAATTCTGTTTCTTTTTATCGTTCATTGTTTCTTCTCAGAAGTTTCGGAGCCAGACAAAAGAAAAACAACGCAATCGATTATGGTTTTTGGGCGTAAATGATAAAGACATGAGATGATTCATGAGTATTATAGTTTGCTTGTGGAGCAGGTTATTCAGATTTCTTGGGAAGCAAGTCTCTAACATGTATGCAAGAAGAGTAAGAGGGACCTCGGCGGACTATGGCACAATCACGGCGATTGCCATTGATAAGGACAAGAACAGCCAACACGCCTTGAAATGGGCCGTTGAAAATATCGTTGTTGATACTCCACAATGTGTCCTTCTCCACGTTCAACGTAAGCATCTCTCGCTCTTCTCTTCATCATCGAAACTACAGCGTCAAAGAGCCCTAATTAGGAATCTGTTTTGCAGTGGGAAACACAGGAGGACATTTTCATCAGGACAATCAGGACGAGGCGCATCAATTCTTTCTTCCTTTCAGAGGATTCTGCGCTCGAAAAGGAGTTAGTGATCGATCATTTCCAATCTTCATTCAACAACAGATCACTTATAATGATCACATATCATGACATTATATATGTATACACGCTTTTCAGATCATAGCAAAGGAGGTTATTCTTCATGATATTGACATCTCCAATGCTATTGTCAACTACATCACCAACAATTATTACATTGCAAATCTTGTTGTTGGCGCATCTGCACGCAATTCCTTCCTCAAGTCTCTCCTCTTCTCTGTTTCATGCTTGGTACCATTTCAACTTTGGTTACACAAAATGCTAACATTCAAATCTTTCTTTGTGATCAGAAAGTTTAAGAGTCCAGATGTACCAACCACTCTGCTTACGACGACTCCAGAGACTTGTGCTGTCTTTGTTGTGACCAAAGGTAGGCTTTTAAAAAGCAGATCCGCGAGTCACCCTCATAAACTTTCCAGACAACAAAATCTCTCTTCTTTGTTGTATAACTCAACAAGCTCCGTTTCCAATGACTCTGATAGGTAATCTCAACTCTCTTCCAACTTTTGGCCATGGTTTTCTTCTCAACAAGACAAGTTTTGGTTTACATTTTTTACAGGGAATCATTATCATCACCTGTATCTACACAAACCAACAAACCAAATTCAGATTTCTTCCAACCCAATTCACCTCGCATATCACCACCGCCATCTATGAGTGAGATCTCTCAGTCAGAGACTGATAATGGCAGTAGTGATATGGTATCAACTGTGAGTTCTTACACCGTCTCTGAAAGTTCCACTACCATCGGAAGCTCGATCTCTTCAACGTCAACGGTTAGTAGTATATCATCACTTTCTACTAAACGTTCAGTTTCTTAGTGTTCTGACATTTCCTTCTTGGATAACTGGTGCACAGGAAAGTCCACATGCGGGAAATTTCGTGGAACAACAGGTAAAGTTTGTCAGGAACATAAATTTGCTCCAGGATTTGCAGAATGTCAACATGGTACTGATATGGACTATCTTCTTTGCCAGAATCAAAATCTTGAAGCAGAGGTGAGGAAACTGAGACTGGAATTGAAGCAGTTTAAGATGGACAAAGACACTACAAACCAAAACGAAAACGTAAGATATCACTACCTTCCATGTTGATGACAATTGTTGTTGTGAATAATAATCATTAGATATTACATTATGTAGTCCCAAGAAAGCCCAAGGTCAGATGAAAAAATAGAGCTGCCTAGAGCATTGTCTGAGAGGGAAAAGCAGAAAAAGCAGTCTGCAATCCAAGCCGCTGAAATAGCAAAGCGCATAGCGAAAATGGAGAGCCAAAAGATAAGATTACTAGAGATGCAAGCCAATTTGGACAAACAGAAGATGGTCACTACGGTGTCTTACAGACGTTATAGTATCAAAGATGTTGAAGGTGCAACCTATGGTTTTTCTGATGCTCTAAAGATTGGGGAAGGAGGTTATGGACCTGTTTACAAAGCTGTTCTCGATTACACTCCTGTCGCCATTAAAATCTTGAAGTCGGGTATCACAGAGGGACTAAAACAGTTCCGACAAGAGGTAGTGTGTTAGTTATATTGTGAAATCCTTATTTTACTTTTTTCTTTTCTTCTTCTTCTGACTCATACATATGTTTCTTCACTAGATTGAGGTTCTGAGTAGCATGAGGCACCCTAATATGGTGATCCTTCTCGGTGCATGTCCCGAGTATGGTTGTCTTGTATATGAGTATATGGAAAATGGAACACTTGAAGATCGCCTCTTCTGCAAAAACAATACACCCCCACTTTCATGGAGAGCAAGATTCAGAATCGCTTCTGAGATTGCCACAGGACTTCTTTTCCTTCACCAGGCAAAACCTGAGCCCTTAGTTCATCGTGATCTGAAGCCAGCAAACATTCTACTTGATAAACATCTCACTAGCAAAATCAGTGATGTCGGTCTAGCTCGCTTGGTACCTCCCTCTGTGTCTGATAGCTACAGTAACTATCACATGACCTCTGCAGCCGGTAAGAGACTTATCTTCCATCTCTTTTCAATGTCTTAACATCGAACCAATGTTGATGTATGTTTCCCATTTGGCGTACGGGAACAGGTACATTTTGTTACATTGACCCTGAGTATCAGCAAACCGGAATGCTTGGAGTGAAATCTGACGTCTACTCTTTTGGTGTGGTGCTTCTGCAAATCATAACAGCCCAACCAGCAATGGGGTTAGGCCATAAAGTAGAGATGGCTATTGAAAATAATAATCTGAGAGAAATTTTGGATCCAACTGTATCAGAATGGCCTGAAGAAGAGACTCTGGAGTTGGCTAAATTGGCTTTGCAGTGTTGTGAACTGAGGAAAAAGGATAGACCTGATCTTGCCTTAGTTCTGTTACCAGCTCTGAACAGGCTTAAAGAGTTTGCTACAGAGGATCATGAACGTATTCAGGATAGAACATCTCATGTGTCACATGAACACAATTCAGTTCCACTTTCCCCGATTCCTTCCTCTCAGGTTAGTTTCTTAGAACCGTTCTTTTTAAGGGATCTTAGCTGCAAATCGAACTTTAGGAAATTCCACACACATTAAGAACCTGCAACAAAAGATTTACTCACAATAAGCATATCAATATTAACTAAACCTTTCAATTTATGAACATAGCTGAAAACGGATTTAGATCTTAGTTTATCAAGAGGACACTTTTTGTTTTGTTCTGCACACTTGCAATGTATCACACCAAGAAGGGTTTTAGATCAGAGAGAATCATATTTTGTCAAAAGTAGGTAAAGATGTTTACTGCAGAACTTTCTCAGTTCATGAATAATTTCTCTGCCATGTAGAGAGAGGATCAATTGAGAAAATCATATTGAGTATTGATAAAAAAACATGGAAATTCGACGTAGATCAACCAGAAGCTGAAAGTGGCAGTACCTGAGATCCACGACTATCTTGATCCGTCTAAGACCCGTAACCATCCCGTACCAAGAAGAAGTCGACCTCCAAGATCACATACAAGCCAGTACAAAGGCAAGGGTTGGTCTTTCATGAGTTGTTCTCCATCCAGAGTTCAGTGGGGTGATCTCCCATAATGTGTGGGAGTTCCCTTATCTTTGTATATGAAATTTTTTTTTGTTTTGTTCATGTCAAATGCTACAGTTTTAAAGAAGACTTGCTTATTAATCTAAAGACCCTCGTTCGAATCAAGAAAATCAAATCAAATGTCGTTTTGCAGCAACATGATCTTCTGTAACAAAAATATTTTCAAGCAAACTGCAAAACTGAAAGTTTAAGACTTAATATATGAGGATATTGTTTGTTTCAGCAATAGCAACGAGCTTAGAAAATAGACATTGTTTGTTTCAGCAATAGCAAAGAGCTTAGGAAGGTTTATTACACAATATGACTGAGACATGAGAGCCAAAAGCCACAAAACAAAAGGTGACTGATCCCTCATCATAGCTTGTGAAATCTTAAAGAAAAAATGAATAGCTAAGAGCAGAGAACAGTCCAGATAAATAGAACCAAAGGGAAAAATAGGAAACAAATAGGACCATCAAATATCAGGTTAGCACTCAATGAGATAAACAGAGGTATATAATTATATGAACACACTAAACCATCCCAATTAACAAAATGATAAGAAAAAAACTTGAGAGAAGAGCTTCATTACAAATGTAATACAACACATCCGTTTCTCAACGAATCAAGAAAGAGGTAACATTGATCAAAAACAGAAACATAAAACAACTAACTAGAAGAAACACACTCATGACAAATTAAATTACCAATTGGTAAAACATTTTATCAGTATGAATATAAGAAAAAAGGTTTGCAGGTTATTCTTCAAAGTGAAACTGCATTATGACTGACAGACATACAGACTTGTTGTACCTCTAGAAACCAAATAAAGTTTTCATTTTTATGATTCCAAGACATACCAAACCTATCAAATTCTCACCATTTCCCCTATCAAAAATTCCAACAACGACGAAACAGAGTCTTCCAATTAGACTATTGCAGTCTTCAAATGGGCACATACCGCCTCACAATTTGCTTCCCAGCTACAACAGCTCCAGCCGCAAGTCCACCAAGAGCACCAGCCACAGCCGCAGATCTCACTCCTCTGGCCGCTCTACAAACAGCTCCGGTCCCAAGACCAGCCACCACACTGGTCCAAACATCATCTCTATCCGTGGCAGCCACAACACCACTCTCGATCCCTGCGTAAACCAACCCAATGATACCAATCCTGTTACCCCAAGTTCGACCCGTTTGACCAGAAGAGTTCAAGATCCTGTTGATTTTGAGCTTAGTCGTGTCGCCAGATTCGAAGCTTTTGACTCCAGTGATAACTCCAACAGAAGCTCCGGCAACGGAGCCACCGAGGTAAGCTGTTCCGGTGTAGAAAGTGAGGTTCTCACCCCAAGATCTACGTTGCCTTAAAGACTCCTCTGTGAAGAGAAACTCAGGAGATGTTGGAAGCTTGTAAAGGTACTGAGATTTGTTGATTGGTACTTCGTAGTTTTGGTAAGGATTGTAAAGTCTTGTGTTTTCGTCTGACCCATGATCGGATCTGTTATTAGCCGCCATGGATTGGTGAGAAAAGTCTAGGTTTTATGGATTTTGATGGTGGCTATAGAGAGAGAGACGACGGAGAGGAAAGAGAAGAGAAACGTGTGATGATGTGTTGTGTTGTGCTGTGTTGTGGATCTCTCTGAATGTTTGTTTGGTTGGTTGCCGAAATGAGAAATGAAACAAAGCAAAACAAAAAATCTCTGTTTAGGGTTTTTAGGGAAAGACTCAGTCCAGTTGTTTCCAGATTCGCTTAATACTCGCGTTTGCAATTTATTCGAATTTAGCCCACTATGTTTTGTTTACTCTTTTTTATACCCAAATCGGTTTTCTCTTGCTTCCTATTTCGAATTTTATTGACCCCAGAAGTTTTGTTTTTACAAAATTAACCTCTTTAACATTGGACTTTTCAAAATCACATTTACTTACAGTACTTGCAAATTGCAATCCATCGTGACAACAACCAACCATTCTCGAATTTTCATGTGTTTCTTATAATGTCAAAAATATTATTCACTAGAAACAGTTCACATTTATATTTGTATTATATTTATAATGAATAGGTTTATTTTCATTATAATGGTTGTTATCTCTTATATATTAATTGAGAATCATTTTTTTTTAAATAATCTTACCATCATGTGTGATTAACGAAAATATCATGCTGACGTGTCGTTTTCAGAGAGCTTCTTAATCTATTTAGTTAAAGACCTAACATTTATTAGGATATTTATAGATTTTGCCATTAGTTTTACTTATGTTTATTTTTTCTAATTGATTTATGCTTTTTATTTTTTTCAATTATTTAAAACGAAAATATAATTAAAATAGTATGTAATTAAGAGATACAAATCTATACAAAATGGAGTACCTAATATATTGTGTATCTATTAATATAACAAGATATATATCATAAATCATGATAAACATATAATTTAATACATAAACGAAAATTTTCACTAATCTTGATAATCATTAATACACTACCATTTATTTAATAATATAAAATTCGAACACTTTCAATATTATCAATATATTAAAATATATTTAATAATCGTTTTATCCTGCACATAGTGCAGGATATTATCTAGTTGGTAATTATGTATTGTTGCGGTTCAAAGTGTAATACTTTATATACTGTTTCTTCTATCCGTTATTTTGTACCGTTTTTAACTATTTACGTATCGCTAACTACGCGCTAAATTTTTTTGATTGTTTTGTGTTATCATTCAGATCCAATAGACAAACACCCATAGATGCATCAAATTAAAAATTTAGGTAAATAGCAATATATGGTCATTGTTGGACTAGATGATATGAAATGTAGCAAGATTTACTGAAGATACTAAAATAAAATAATTAAGGATTCTAATCCAAAGTTTATTTGTTTTTAATTTGAGTCAAAAGGGAAATAAATAAAACTAATTCGTTTTAATTTCGAGAGCGTAAATAGAATTATTCGGAAGACAAAATAAAAGCATAAATTTGCAAACTAAAAACCTCCCGCAGTCACACAACTGCGCAGAGCCAGAAAAAAAACGAATCCTCCGGTTACGGCGAAGAAACGTCGTCTAACTCCGATTACAAGGCAAATTAAACAAGGGTTAGATGGGAAACCAGAAATTAAAGTGGACGGGAGAGGAAGAGGAGGCGTTACTCGCCGGAATTGGGAAGCACGGTCCTGGTAAGTGGAAGAATATTCTCCGGGATCCCGAATTCGCTGATCAGCTCATCCATCGCTCCAATATTGACCTAAAGGTTTCTCTTTTCCTCTTTAAAATCACTCTCTTTGAACCCTATATAAAACCTAAAACATCCAAGTTGAGACTAACCCGAGACTGCATTATGTACTTGCTCATATCTGCTTAGTTTAAGATCCATAAAAATTTAAACTTTTGGAAATATGTTTTAGACCAGATTATAAACAATCTTATTAATGTTATCTCTTATCATTGTTCATAGGATTAGTTGATACTTGGAATAGATATGAACCCTATAAGTTGTTTTTTTATTGATTCAAGTGTACAATAAATAAAGCAAGCTTGTTGAGTTGGAGATTTAAGGTGGAAAGAGCAGGACTTTCCTTCATTTTGCAATGGATTTTCTCTTTTACTTGGTAGCCTTGTGAAGATGAATCTGTAATTATTTGTGTTTCAATCCTTTATAGGATAAGTGGCGTAACTTGAGTGTTGCCCCTGGTACTCAAGGTTCAACTAATAAGGCACGACCGACAAAAGTCAAAGAGGAAGGCCCTGCAGTTGCAACTGATGATATCACTAATCCACCTCCTAATACTATCCCTACTATTCCACCTCCTCCCAATCGGCGTATTTTACCTTCTGAGTTGATCCCTGATGAAAAGAGTAACATTGTGGTGGATGCAAAGAATGTTCCCAGGTTTGTCTTTCTTTGTTCTCTGTTTCTTATGCTTGAAATGCCCAGAAAGTATGCTGAGAGACCAGTTCCATAAATGCTAGCCTATCAACTCTGAGTAATAATCTTCATCATGTGTTGCTAAACTTCTGATATGTCCTTATTTTCAGGTATGACGGGATGATATTTGAAGCTCTCTCTGCTTTAGCGGATGGTAATGGATCTGACGTCAGTTCCATTTTTCATTTCATTGAGGTTAGACAATTTCTCTCTGCTCTTTATTATGCACAGATCAGAATGTTATTTGTGCTCGATTTGTAAACTACTTAACAGATTATTAGAGACATCATCTTATATATGGGGGACGTGTAGTTATGTTATTGGCAATTGTAAACTGTATCTACATTGACTTGTGCAAATGGCTTATTACTACTATCAACAATCTTCCTAGGATTGTCCTTCGCAAATGAGAACACCTAATTCTGAATGTCAAGTCTTATGCTACTAATCATCTTTACTTTGACGTTTATAGTATGATGATAGTTGACGTGAAGCTGTCCACTATGCCTATCTGAAAAAATGTTATAGCTCTTGAATTTACTTAAATTTGGGTCACTCTCTGTTATTCTTTTACCCCATCTGGATATATAATAGCCTTTGTTTTGGACCTTTCGACCGAGTGCTGATAATGGTTTACTGTGGAAAGAGCAGCCTAGGCATGAAGTACCGCCAAATTTTAGAAGAATCCTTAGTACAAGACTGAGGAGGCTTGCAGCTCAGAGCAAACTTGAAAAGGTTAGCACCTTCAAATCTGTAAGTCTTGAAGCTCACTTTTCTTGTGTTTTTTTTTTTTTGAGTTCGCATTTCCTTTTTAAATTCTCGAACAAAACCATCTTCATCAAATGGCGTTGACAAATCAGTGGCCCATATCTGTCTGAGCCAATGAAGCATGGTTCAACATAAAGAATCCACTGAATTAGTAACAGAATCAGTGTTCAGTGACATTGTTCTTTAAAGCCTTCTCATGCTTTTTTTTTTCTGTGTTGTTCAATCCAACACATAACAGTTGCAGAATTTCTATAAGATACCGGATCCATCAGGAACGAAAAAACCTGCCCCAAAAACAAAGGAGACACATACGAAGCTGCGCCAAGCAAACAATCAGGCTTCTGCTATTTCACTACAGATGATCGAGGAAGCTGCAATAACCGCTGCCTGTAAAGTCGTAGAGGCAGAGAATAAAATAGACGTAGCCAAACTAGCAGCAGAAGAGTTTGAGAAGATGACTAAACTTGCCGAAGAAACCGGAAAACTCCTGTTGATAGCTAATGAGATGCATGAACAATGTAAAAAGCCAGACTGTTTTCTCATTTCTTAGCAAACAAAACAAAACGTCTGCCGGGTTTCAATGTCTTAACTTTGGTATTATATGTCTGTTTTGCAGGTTCTGGTGGCGAGCCTATGCTCTTGGCTTGAGTCTATGGGACATTCCTTGTAGCTCACCAGTCTCTCCGTTAATATATAAACAAAATTAATTTAGTAGACGTTGGCTCTGTTTGTGAGTAATTTCAGAGTCTCCTTTTTGTTTTGAATTCCGGAACCTATAATACATATTACTTGGACTTATTGGCAGAATTACTTTCGTATAATTTTCTTTAAATTCCTCTATATCGAATAATGGGACCAAAACATTAATTGGACACTGGAGTAGTAAAATAAAATAAGAAAGTTTCTTCTTTTGAAGGCAACAGAGAGTGAAAAAAGTGGTAATATATAAAAAGTTAAGAGGGCAAATCGGGAAAGAAGATGTTTTCCTTTTCTTACTTTGAAAAGTAAAGCAAAACCTAAAAAAAAAAAAAAAGAGAACACGACCGTAAGTAGTTAGAATGGTGGAGGTATAAAAGAGCAGTCTTTTTCTTCTCCAACTCCACGGCGCAGATCCGAAGAGTTTGGTCTTGTCTTTTTTCAATCTCTCTCAATTTGCTAACAGCAGGTTTGTTCGAATCTCTCTTCTTTTATATGTTTTGTGTTTGGATTGTCATTGTGCTTTTATAGAAATTTTAGTTTTTTGTTTGTGTTGTTTGATTCATCATCCTATACAATGCTGATTCGTAAAGGATCGATTTTTGTACAAGGGATGATTTAGATGTTTTATTAGTGCGCCTTGGTTAGGTTATGTTTACAATAATTGAATCCTTTGGATTGTACAACAGTTGACTTTACGAAGATGAATTTGTAGTTACATCATGAAACTTTTTTATGCTTGATTTGCTTCTGTTCTCTCATGGTGCTTGTATCATATCACTTTTTGTCTTTGTACAATTTTGTTATGGGATCTGAGACAACGAGTTTGATTGTAAATTGAATGTTTTTGGGTAATTCTTGCTCTCTTGAAATCTGTTTTTTACAATGTCGGTTTCTTTTTTTTGTTATGCTTCTACAGTCATGGCAGGAATGACGTCGGATGGAACACAATATGATCCTCGTCAGTTTGATACTAAGATGAATGCCGTGTAAGTTCAATTTTAGTATCTAATATCTAAATTACTGGATAACAACCAAGAACTGAGTTGTGTAATACTTTTCAGACTCGGCGAGGAAGGAGAGGAAACATTCTACACTAACTATGACGAAGTTTGCGATAGCTTTGATGCAATGGAACTGAAACCAGATCTTCTTAGGGGTATTTATGCTTATGGTAAGTGAGGTTTTTCCTTTGAGAACACAACTATACCTTTCATTGTATCTGTTAAGTGTTTGTTTTCCTTTTTGATTGTTTCAAAGCTTTGATGTATTCTTCTTATCATTAGGTTTTGAGAAGCCTTCTGCTATTCAGCAGAGAGGAATTATTCCATTCTGCAAGGGTCTTGATGTCATCCAGCAAGCTCAATCTGGAACTGGAAAGACCGCTACCTTTTGCTCTGGTGTTTTACAGCAGCTAGATATTAGTTTGGTTCAATGCCAAGCTCTTGTTTTGGCTCCTACCCGAGAACTTGCCCAGCAAATTGAAAAGGTTATGAGGGCACTTGGTGACTATCTTGGCGTCAAGGCTCAGGCTTGTGTTGGTGGAACTAGTGTTCGTGAGGATCAACGCGTTCTTCAGTCTGGTGTTCATGTTGTTGTTGGAACCCCTGGTCGTGTCTTTGACTTGTTGCGTAGACAATCCCTCCGCGCTGATGCAATCAAAATGTTTGTTCTTGATGAAGCTGATGAAATGCTCTCTCGTGGTTTCAAGGATCAGGTTTTAAGCTTGTTTAATCTCAATTCCATTTTCTTTCTGATAAAATGAAATTCTCTGTTCTTACACTTTGATTTCTCTGTCAGATATACGACATCTTCCAGCTTCTTCCTTCCAAGGTTCAGGTCGGTGTTTTCTCTGCTACAATGCCACCCGAAGCCCTTGAGATCACAAGGAAGTTTATGAACAAACCAGTCAGGATTCTGGTCAAGCGTGACGAGCTGACTCTTGAAGGTATAAAGCAGTTTTATGTCAATGTAGACAAGGAAGAGTGGAAACTCGAGACACTATGCGATCTCTACGAGACACTAGCCATCACGCAAAGTGTCATCTTTGTGAACACAAGGCGTAAGGTTGATTGGCTAACCGACAAAATGAGAAGCCGTGACCACACTGTCTCAGCCACACACGGAGACATGGACCAGAACACAAGAGACATCATCATGCGGGAATTCCGCTCTGGATCTTCCCGTGTCCTCATAACCACTGACCTTCTTGCTCGTGGTATCGATGTTCAGCAAGTCTCTCTTGTCATAAACTTTGACCTCCCAACCCAACCGGAGAATTACCTTCACCGTATTGGAAGAAGTGGAAGGTTTGGAAGAAAGGGAGTGGCAATCAATTTCATGACAACGGAGGATGAGAGAATGTTGGCTGATATTCAGAGGTTTTACAATGTGGTCGTTGAGGAGTTGCCAAGCAATGTTGCTGATCTTCTCTGAAGCCCTTTTTTTTTCTGTTGCGGCGGCCGGGTAATTTTTTTCTTTGTTTTTTACTGAGAAAGTGCGGTTCTTACCCCTTTTTTGGCAGCTTTTCTATGCTTTGATTTTTGTTTTCAGGCTACTACTTAGATTAATAGTTCTTGGCAAAAAGAGAACAGAACTCATTACATGATTTTGCCTTTTGCCATCAAAAAATTTCGGCATTATTTATCTTTTTGTTAACGTGACTTACAAGGAAGGATACTCTATGACTTCTCTCTACTATATTCTCCATTTCATTAGCTACTTTTTGTTTTCTACCTTTGAATTTACAATAAAAAAAAACATAAGGTTGGGGACAAACCCCAAAAAACTTCCCTCGAATTCATGAAGTGAGAAGCGGCCATGTGTAAATTCCAAAGGACATGAGGTATTACAAAATTTTCTTAGGAAAAATAATCATACAAAACTGTACTAGGTGCAGTGGTAATTAATCTCTAGCACTGTTTTTTTTAATTAATGTAACAAACATATCTCATCTTAACGAATATACAAAAAAAAACTTCGATTAACTAAATAGATATTGAGGTTGTAATTACTGCACTAAATAATGAAAAAAACTACACTTGATGTCCCATTCTATAAATATGTCAAAAGTCACAAGAGACAAAAAGCAGAAGAGAAAGAGGTTGGAGATAAAACCCAAAAGCAACAACTCTCCTTTTTTTCTTCCTAAAAAAGCAGAGCCATCTTTTTTGTGGTTTGTTTGCAAGTGAAGATGTTCAGATCCAAGTCATGCAGAGAAGAGATCAGAAGTAGCAGCATCACCCACAAGTACCATTGCTTCAGTCATGGAGGAAAATCAGAAGCAGAAGCAGCACCAAGCCCAACAAACACAAACCAGCAGCCACCAGTGATGATGAGATCATACAGCACATCAACTTACAAGAATCCAACAATTGTGAGAGACGATTCCAACAGTAAATCCAAGAGAAGCAATAAGGTGAAGAAGAAAGGGTTCACGGGTTTGTGTGAGGCAGAGATTCAGAGAAAGAAGAGAGTGGCTTCTTATAATGTGTATGGTGTTGAAGGGAGAGTGAAGGGATCTATGAAGAAAAGCTTCAAATGGTTCAAGGAGACTTGTTCAAATGCTGTCTATGGTTTGTGGTGATCCAACCACAAATCTTCTCAATCTTCTTCTCTTGTTGCCGCATTGCTCTGTCTGTTTTTTCATTCTTGTTCCAAGTATGATGATTGTTGTAATATCTTAAGCTACGATAAATATATTTTTGAGCCTTAAATTGCTTTTACATTATACTTCATTCGTAGACACCAAGGATGAAGTATGACCTAACCTGCCATCTCGCAGGTCATCTCAAGGCTCAACTTGACAAATGACATAACCAGAAGCTGCTACTCTCAGATCCTCTTTTAAGGAAAAACAGTACAATTATTGCTTCGGTACATTAATTATAGTTTTCTCCTTTCACTCAATTTTTACCAACAAAAACGACCTTTTTTACCCACACCATATGCTGAAACATGAGAAGATGCCCTTTTGAAACATGAGAAGATGCACAATAAAAAAGAAAAACTTTTCTTTTGTACTTTTTTTTGGCAGCCTGAGGAAAAGTTCTAGGAACTTTAAACCTTTTTGAGGAACAAACGATTTTAGCTTTGCGGTACTAAACAAGACAAACAAAACAGAGACAGTATATATCAAATGGGGACTAAAAGTGTTAAAGAGTCTTAAGACTCTTTGATCTCACCCTCTTTGAGTTTGTCTTTCTCTGGAATCACTTCTTCAGAGTCTTTTCCTTATCTTTGTTATTTGAGTGTGTGCTTACAGGCACAAGTAAAGTCTCCCTCCCTGTGAACACAAATGCACGCAAAACATGGGGAGGGCCTAAGAGAGGTTTTCTTTTGTCTTTTAATTTACACTTGTCCCGGGGTTTCAAGATCATTCACTGGCCCCAGCGACTAAAAATGCAGACTCTCGATCCCTTTAAGATTAGCCTCATAGTTCTTCATGACTGAAGTAGTCGCCCTTGAAGGTGAGGATAGCTTGTTGATCTCAGAGGAGACAATAGGGGAGCTTCGACCAACAGGGATCTTTGAATTGGAGCCTGATCCAGCTTCAATGATTTGAGGGTTTGATGGCTCAGAATCAGTTCCCAGAACTGCAGCCTCGCGACTACTGGATACAGCAGCACGTCTTGATGACCCAGTTGCGCGGAGAAAGCTAGAGCTCGATAACTGTCACAAGAAAAACAGCTCAGTTACCATTAATATAAAGAACAAGAATCCAAAAAAAATTCAGCTGCAAATCCTTGTGTATACAACCCGTGGCTGAGTCTCAACAACTTACAGAACATTATGTTTTTTTTTTTTTCAACTCAGAACCTTATGTTTATTTCTTCAAATCAGGGGCTAAAGAATTGGATACCTGTAATATAGGGGCAATTTATGTACTCACCACTACATCTTTAGATATTGCAGGATCACTTGAAACTGGTGCTTTTTGTTTAGCTAAGCTTCCTGAATTAAAAATTTGTCCAGAACTTCGTCTAGGGATTCCGGATGACCAGCCAGAAGGTCTAGCTTCGTCGCCACCTGCAGTGGAACCAAAGAACACATCAGATGGGTGAAAACCATGTCGCCGTAGAACAGAGTATCAGATGTCGCCGTAGAACAGAGTATCAGAGCCAAATGCCTAATGAAATATGGAAAGAAACTACTTGAAAAGATAGAACTACCTGATGGCCTCTCAGCACTAGTAATGGCAGGGGGGAGGCCAGAGCTTGGCCCAACTACAGGACCCTGGAAGAAAGGTATGTATTCAGCAGAAGTGGGACGATGACATTCGGAAAAGAAAAAGAAAAAAACTGATTCTTACATGATGACGAGGAGGAGGTGTAGAAATCTGTGATTGCTGATACTTCAAGATCGTCCAATCAAATACATAATCAAACTGGAAGCCTAAAATATAAGTAGAGGACGTAAACTCAAATTAACATGTTGATTGACTGTCCAAGTTATATTTGCTTCACAAGACTAGGATTAACATAAGTGATTGAGGAGACCAAACCTTCACGAATAAACAGGTCACGGAAAAGCCGTTTCAGGTAGGCATAGTCTGGCTTGTCGTCGAATCTCAGGGAACGGCAATAATGGAAATAAGATGCAAATTCAGATGGATAACCTCGGCATAAAGCCTAAAAGAAGAATAGAATATTTATTCAGTATTAAGTAATAAGTGTCACCAACACAGGCATCGGAACATTATTTTACCTCAATAGATGTCGATACTTTCTTTTCACTGATTTTCTCATACTTCTGCTTCTTATTTCCAGCTTTCAGTCCTTGCCAAGGAAGACTGCATTTAAGTGGATAAGTTAGCAAAGACCGCCCTATAAAGAACCAATAGCAACATGCCAACATTTACGGTAAGAGAGGTACATACCTTCCTTTTAAGAAGTACATGAGAACAAATCCAAGTGACTCCAAATCATCTCTACGACTTTGTTCTGTAATAAAATAGACCATTAACTATCTAGGATTACGTTCTTTAAATTAAAAACTTAGAAACTAAATGAACTGGTATTACCAATGCCAAGGTGAGTGTTCATGCTAGCGTATCTAGCAGTTCCAGTCAAGTTTTTGTTTTCCCTGTGATACACAAAATATTAAAATTATAATTGCAACGCAGATACATCATATACTGCAATCATCGAAAATGTTGCTACTTAGGAGCAATACATTAAAATGATTTTCTCATATACTAATGCATCTTTGTAAAAACTGGGAAAGTAAGCTAACTATCTGAGTAAGAGGCTATCCAAATACTAAAACGACAGTAATCCTGTAAAGACCTTATTCCAAAAGAAAGAAAACCTAAAAAAGACTCTTATTTTGTCTATAAACACTTATAAACACGACAACACAGGAGAAGCAATCATTACAAAGCCAAGGAAACTTAGATCCACTTTTCTAGAAAGGGTAAAGCTCTACAAACAAACAGGTAAAAGACGTGAGACAGGCGAAAATATTTAAATAACCACACTGCAAAGCCTATTGTAAGCATTAAATGTCCCTAAAATACCCTTTAAATCGAGGATAAAGATAACTCCACCCTTTTACAGTGATGTATTACATAGAAGAATCTTAAGTTAGATAATAGTCACACAAGCTAGATAAAAGCAAAGCCTACATAGGCGTACATTAGTAACAGACACAAGAAAAATCATAGGGTTATGGCCAACCTGTAAGGAATATGCTGATGATTTGAGTCTCTATACTTCTTTGCCAGACCAAAGTCGATAACATATACCTGTATTCAGCCCAACACATCGTTGAGCAAATAATTGTGGAGAATAAAGAAATCTTACAAACAGCCCTTTTCAACAGCTACCTGATTTGCGCGCCTCCCAAGACCCATCAGAAAGTTGTCAGGCTTGATGTCCCGATGTAGAAATGACTTCTGATGGACAAACTCAATGCGATTGATCTGAAAAGCGGAACAAAATATCCTAAATGTTTATTCAACGTGAGAAAACTATTTTCAGGCTATAGACAGGATCCTACCATTTGATCTGCAAGCATTAGTACAGTCTTTAGTGAGAGTTTCCTACTACAGAAATTGAATAGATCTTCAAGGCTAGGCCCCAACAAGTCTATCACGAGGACATTATAGTCCCCTTCAACACCATACCATTTAACGTTTGGAACGCCAGCTAAAATCAAGGAAAGGAAAGCAACCCTCTTGGATAAGAAATAAGAAATCACAAACTACAAATGTAAACAAGTACAGAACTAGGTCCTTACTTCCTCCTTGAAGTACTTTGTACAATTTTGATTCATAGAGCAACTGAGGATGCTTAGTTTTCACATTTTCCTGAAAGAAGAAGAAAAGATGCCGTCAGAACATACTATACAACAAACACAGCAGATAAATCTGTTACAATTCAGAACGACAAAGAAATGTGAAACAAACATGAGGATTTGATTTAACATACTCAACAGTCAGAAGCAGTACAAACAGGTAACAAAAGAAAAGCAACAGCCAATGTTTCAATACAGTAATATGTACAGCTGTCAGCCTCATAATTCTCCATTTGTAGGCCACAACAAAATTTTCAATAGGATGGTCCCACCAGTTGCAGGTAATTTTGTCGTGGACTCTAAGAATTGATTCAGCATTGATTAGACTATCTTCTCAAGAATCAATAATTAGCTCTCAGTTCTTACGAAAAGTCAGGCTGAACCCAGATTTAAACTACAAAGAAATTGGTTTGATCATGTTGAATACTGAGTGAAAACAGTTATAGATAATCAAGATGAAGTTAAGGAAGAACTCAACTAAATAAATTGCTACAATCCCATACAAAAGAGCAGTAACCTGGTTAGAGCTGTGTGTAGCCTACTAAATAAATTCTTTTCCTTTTTCGTCTAAACACAGTATGTATACCAATGTTTTCATTCTAAGCGGTTTTATCATGTAAAAGGAGAAGCTCCAAGCTAAGTAAGACCAAGCAATAAAATAGTAAATCTTTCTACACATATGCCACAACAATCAAAGCTTTCTTCCTACTATCCGAGAAAATTCACTCTTTATTTAATGAAGATATACGTACAGACTTCAATGATCTCTGTACATCAATCAAACGCTGAAATTGGTAAAAATTTCACTTTTGAGTAGGAATACTTACAAGTTTAATAGCCACTTCTTCATTCGTCTGTATATTGGTACCTAAAATCAATTCAAACCCATGTCAAAACCAAATACTTATAATCATAGAAAATCACAAACGAGAGGTGAATCTGAATCAAAGACATACCAAGATAGATCTCTCCGAATGATCCACCGCCGATCTTCCTTCCGAGCCGAAACTTGTTTCCGACTCGCGGCTCCATCAAATCGAAAGCTGATAAAACCTACAACTTCTTCTAAACTACCGAAACGCGATTAATATCCACCACTAGAATCCAGTAGCTTTACCTTTCGCCGGAAAAAAAAAAAAAAAAAAAAAAAACAAACAGAAGGAAGAACAAAAACGAGATTGGACCTGAAGATTTGAGAAGTCTGAGATAATAAGTAGAGCCAAAAAAAAAATCAAAAGGATAGAAGGAAGAAGTAGCGATGGATTCCGATTGACTTCCGGCGAAAGAGAGTCGACATATCAAATCCACGCGGCGAAAATATCCCAAAAGGGAAGGGATAGACACAGAGAGATGATGCTACTCTAATTATTCTCCAAGGATAATAATAATAATTATAATTGCGGAGTAGTTGGGCCGTGCC